GATAAATGTGTGTAATTTGCTAAGATACAATGCAAAGTTAACTATATTCAAAAAAACTAACATGAATTTCAAAGTAGAGATAGCTAGTAGGTTATTAAAGTACGTACATTCAAAATATATAATCCATGTTTTTAGACAGACATTGAAGGCCACTATCCCTTCCTATTGTCCATAGTGCCAGAGTCAGATGAAGAGCACTGTTGGCTTGTGCAGTCCCAGGATGGCACTCACACACTCTAAAAACATTCGTGACTGAAATTACGCTTTTCTCTAGGGATGAGAAAATACATGAAAGTACAAATTTAGCATCAAGTATTTGCTATCATTTATTTATTCAGCACCTGGTCCTATGCACCAGGACTCTGTTCGGTACTTTAACTCATTTAATTCTCACAAAGTAATTTGTAATTCTCACTTTACATATGAAGAAATTAAGGCTCTGGGGGCTCATAATTTTGGCAAATATATATTATAGGCATGAAATACAATAGTAAACTCTAGAGGGAGAATTTAAACCCAGGTCTATGCCATGTTGCCTTTTGCCATACAGTACAGTACTAAGCAGACCAGGGTGTAGCTCAGGAGTAGGAGTGTGTGCCTACTGTGTCCAAGGTCTAAGTTCAAACCCCAGTATCACAAAAAGAGATACAGTAACAAAAACAGTTATCTTAAGTGCTTATTTTTTTTAAATGCTCAGTAAATTGTAACAGTCTTATGAAACTACTCAGTCAAAATACATTTGAATTTCTTTTGGTTCCCCTTCTCTCAAACCTCACATTTTATCCCTTAGCACATCTTCTTGGTTCTACCTTCAAACTGTGTTCAGAACGCATTATATTTTGAGGATGTATCAAAATATATATTCACATACCTTATCACTACTACCCTTGATTATCTCCAGCCTGAATTAATTTTAAAAACCTGTAACTTGTCTTCCTGCTTCTTCCTTCCAGCTCTATTCTGAATCCTTCCACCTGCCAAAGGGTTTCTTCTAAGGCAGAACAGGTGGTGTTCCTCCTGTGCTCTCTGCTCAAAGCATTCCAAGGGCTGCCCACCTTGCTGAGGTTAAAAAAAAAAAAATCCTGTCTTTACACTGAGCACAACTCAGTATCTCAGTCAGACATCATTTCTTCCATTCTCTTCCATTATTCATTATACTTGCCTTCTTGTTACTCCTCCAATATCCCAAGCATCTCCCTTCCACTGGCCATTCCCTCTGCCCAAAACACTCATGGTACCACCTTTTCAGGTTATGGCTCAAAAGGTACCTTTGTTTCTCCTTCAGGTACTCCATATCCCCCTCACCCTATCAAGACATTTATTACCTTCCAAAATTGCAGATATTTACTTAACACTGTTTCATCAGAATAAGATCTGTTTTGATCACTCTGTGTCTTCAGTAGTGCCTATTCTAGAACAGAATTTGGCATGAGGTAGGCGCTTAAAAACTATCTGCTCAATGAAAATATATATCACTAATGCCAAAACCCAGATTCATAAGTATTCCAGCATACAGCACTGCCCTACCCTACTTAAGCTTATCAACTTTTTCATACAATTCTAGCATTTTCATGTAAATATCAAAACCTCCCCACTCCACACAAATGCATTCCCCAACCAAATCTAAGGCCCTTAATTTTTAGTTTGTTTTTTATTTATTTGCTTGCTTTTCCAAAAGCCAGTAATTTTTAAATACTGAGCCTTATGTTTGTATTACCTCATAAAAGTTCTTTCCTCCTCTCTATTCTCTAACTGTTCTCTGGTGCTATTCTAAAGAATCAACACCTCCCACCCCCCTAAATGAGAAACACTCTGGTTCTTCTGCATGTTATTTATATTCTATCATATCAATAAGGGTATATGTTTTTATGGGGTCTCTGGTACGAAGTCTTATATACAGAAAATATTCTCAAACATTATTAGTATTCCTTCTCCAATTCTTTCATGACTCAGTAACATCTTGATCTCTTTTTCTCCCCATAAATTACTTATTCTTTTGGCGGGTAGGGTGTCAAAAGCAAAAACACAGTCTATTAACTGAAATGGGCAAAGTACATAAACAATAAAGAAGTTTTTGGTACAATGTAACCATTTCCTTACTCCCAAAATATGAAGGAGGAAGGAAGTGGTAAAGGCATGCCAGGTACATGAGGGTTTGGATTGCCTTTCACAACTCCTCCCTGACAACTTGAAAGAGCAGGACTGACAGGTTCCTCAAGGGACAAATCAACTAAATCTTAAAGGTAGGTATCTTTGTTGACTCTGGTGTTAATGACTCAGATATTTAGAAATTACAAAGGAGGGCACCAACTGATCCATATTTCATCCAATTCATTCAACTCTTACCTCCCATTGTTTTTCTAGAAAAATCCCAATAGTGAAAGAAAAATTAAGGGAAAGATGCCAATGTAATTATGTTATGATGTAAAGACATTATTTTTAAAATTTTCTGATTGTGCTAATATATGAGGACAAAGACTACAGATTATTGTAAATCCGCCCCACCCGTCAAAAAAAATACACAATACTTATTATGTTCAGAAAACATAGCACAGCTGAGTGCGGTGATGAAAGCCTGTAATCCTAGCTACTATGGAGGTGGAGGCAGGAGGATCTCGAGTTCAACGCCAGCCTGAACAATTTACTAAAGCCCTGTCTTAAGGGGAGAGGGGTGTGTAGGATGCAGCTCAGTGGCAGAACACCACTGGGTGAGTTTGATGCTTAGTACTGCAGAAAAAGACAAGACAGCACAGCTTTTAAGTTTCTCCATGGAAGCTTAATTTAACTTTATTGCAAACCAAAGACACAGTAGTGTCCTTACTATGATGAGCACCAATGGGAAACCTGAAGCTTCAAATATGAGTGTAAAAAGTTGAATACTGACATCACTTATTGGTAAATGTAAACGTTTAAGCATCAGGGAACTGGATGCACAGGGATACAGTGGATTAAAAATTCTCAAATTCCTTCATGAAGTAGGAAGGTAGGTATTGTTTTCTTATTTTTGACCAAATTAGTGAGCTAAAATTTTACTTTCCCTAAACTGGAAACAAAATTGTAATTTAAGCACCTACATACAAAAAAGCATTTCCAGAACTGTAGAACATTAAAGTTTAAAAAAAAAAAAAAAAAAAAAACCTTGCCTTAAACACTTCCTTGAAGCCGAAAACCCCCAAGCTCATTTACAAAGATGAAGGTTTTAAGGACATAAATTTGTTAGGTACTATATAGACTTGATCAGTTCATTCTGAGAAAACTTAGAAATAGCAAGTAAACTATTAAGGCACAGGAATGAAAAAGGTGCCGAAGAATGTAAACGTAACTAGAAATACACACTCACAAGGAATCATTAAAACTATGGGTCACTCCCTGACTTCATGCAACTGCTCATCCATCACTCTCCCAAGCCCTCTCTGACCACCCCATCCAAGAGTTGTCCTTGCTGGGCCTGGCAGCACAGGCCTGCAATCCTAGGGCTCCGGACGCTGAGGCAGGAGGATCTTTGTGCATTCCAGACCAGACAGAGCTACATATAGCTGAGGTCCTGTCTCAAACAGAGCAAAGAAAAGCAAAACAAAGCAAAACAGTTGTCCTTATCATACTCTGGTCCAGTACCCTGACATTTTCCCTCACAGCAGTTACTACCATAGGCCATTATATAGCTACATTTGTTGACTGTTTGCCTTCCCACTAAAACATAAACCCAATGAGGACAGACCTTTGTCAGTTTTGTTAATCGCTCCACCTAGAAGCACACGACTAGTATATTAATGATGAAGCTGAAGCACAGAGGGTAAAGGATTTCCTCAAGATCACAGAAGTAGAACCCCGTCTGCTACAACCTTGCCCGTGTGCTCTTTCCACGGCCACTTTCACTCCACCAAACCAGTCTGTTTCAGCACGTGACTCTACTGAACAGATTTCTTTTTCTGAGTGCCAAAGAAAATAGATGTTACCAAAAAAGCCTGGCACAGTGGGTAGCATTTTAACTTCAAATGCTTCACAAACCAAAACTGAACTCAAATTTCATAAGCATACAGGATTATCCCCTAAAACAGAAAGGCACAACCACTCACAGTTCTTTTAAATTCCTCCAGAAGTTAGTGTGTAAGTTTTAAGAACAACCCCACTGACCGACTGAAAACCCACTTAACCAACCTAGAATGGCCTATTAACCTTGCCTTCGTTCTGTCCAAGGCCCACGATAGCTCCTCTCTGGACATACTTTATCTGGCAATTTATGCAAGGGAAGGTAACTGTCACTGAAGCCCCTTCAGTTCATTTACAAGTATCTATCAAATCTCACGAAACACCGAATATAAAAATGAACTCTTGGTTAAGTTTTAGATTTGAGAACTGTAACTATCTCTGAGCCACCACCAGACTGTGATGTTCGAGGTCCTTCATTCAAAACCCAAGAATCTAAAAGAAACTGGGAGGAAGTGAAGGGGAGAGTGGGAAAGGGTGGAGCCGAACTATTTACATAGACAAAAAGGGAGCTGATATTTCTAATGACTCTTGGCCCAGGGTCAGCTCCTCGCCAAAAGGCTGGGCCTCACTGACACAACTTGTGCTGTCTTCTTGGATCGCCTTCCGTGCAGACAGCGGAGCCCACAGCCCGCGCCCCTTGCGGGGAACGTCCCTCACCGAGAATGGGACGCGCTAGGACAGGATGGTTTGCTCCGCGTCTCTCAAAACTACTGTCATCTCAATTAGTTAACTTAAAGGGACGCCCCCAGACGCTGCATGGCGAGAGAGTTGCCTCGAGACTGGGAGTCGGGTGGGAAGCGGCAGACGAAAAGGCGCGGACGGGTAAGCAACGCCTGCGGAGTGGCAGGGCGACCCGGGCGGAAGAAGTGGGGTCCGCCGAAGCCAGAGGCGAGCGCGGCGGAGATGCGCCCAGGGCACGGACGCGCGGGCGGGGGAGGGGAGCGTGTCCGGGGCGGGGCGGAAGGGGCGAGGAGGCGGGATGCACAGGGCCAGGCCGGGAGGGTCTTTACCTGCAGCTCCGCCCGCTCCACCTCCCACTGGGCTCTCTCCACCTCGAAGCGAGCCCACTCGTGCTGCAGGAAGTGCAGGATCCCCGGGAGGCTGTACTGGGCTCGGGCCGCCCCCGCCGTGGCCGCCCCGTCGCCGGCCGCGGCAGCCTCCGCCAGAGGCCCGAGCCCCTTAGCAGCGCCGGCGCCCGGGTGGTTGTTGCTGAAGAAGACGCCGGGGCCCGCCTGCTCGTCCATGGCGGCCTCAGAAACCCAGGGAGCTGCCTGGGCGCCCAGCAGAGGAGGCAACGGCGGCGGCCAGCAGCGCCTCCTCCTCCCTCCGCCGCTCCCCGCCCACACCCCAGTCAGCAGAGAGCGGCTGCCTGGGCGCGGGGGCCGGCCCAGCCCGTGACGGGCCGGGAAGTGGGTCAAGTGCGGCGCGCGGCCGCCCGAGGCTTGCTGGGAAGTGTAGTCG